ACAGCCAGGGGCAGGGGACTCTGCTCTGCACATAATGGGCAGGATGAGGAAGGTTGCAATGTGAGCAGCAACCAAGAGCCTCTACTCCCCCCTCGCAGTGCTGCAATGGGGGTCTCTCCTGCAGCATGTGCTCTCCACAGCCCCCAGTTGATGTCCCCATCAGAAAGGGGTCCTTGGGGGACCACAGTGGGGTGTTTGCCCCTGCACCCCCCACCTGAAGCACTGGCACTGCAGACGGAGCCCTGGGTGCCTCTGCAACCCCTCTCCGCACTGAGCCCTTAAAGAAGAAATCTATTAGCTGGTAATTACATGCAGGCTGGAACACTCCAGTTTTATTACAGCGATAAAGCACTCCACAATTTTTCTGTAGGGTGTTTACTCTTAGAGCAACACCTGATTTATGGCTGCAGCAGCGCGGGGCTGGAGGTGCCAGGCAGGCAGAGGTCCTGCACACACGCTGCCCAGGCTGGAGGCTGCGGCATCGCTGCTTGGCTGATGGAGTTATCACTTCTGAAGTGCCTCCAAAATGAATATGGATGCACATCTGCCTTGGCTTAGGTGTAACAAATGGTTAGAGATTGTGTTAAATTACCTCAGAACTGTGTCCACCGCTGACATACCAACTACCCCGGTTGTGGCCTGGGGGACCTTTCATCGCCTGCAAAAGGAAATGCTGCAGACTTAATTCTTCACCAGTGCTGTGCAGATAAAGTCCTCCACAGCCTCCTCCTGGAGAGGATGAGCGGCCATTCTCCAGGAAGCAGGATGCCCTGGAGACCCCTCTCCATGCACAGGGACCCATCACTGTCCCTGGAGCAGCAGCAGGACCCAGGGAACACAGAGAAACTGAGGCACAGGGAGAGCTTCCCGTGCCCCGCGTGCACAGCAGAGCAGCACCCACACCTTGAGCCCCATTCCTTGGTGCCCGGTGCTAATCACCAGATAACACATCTCAAAAGTGTTTATTTCCATCCAGGCTGCTTTTCAATTTGATTATTTATCTCCCGTTTAGCCTTTGACAGATCAAAGGCTCGGTGGAGGGGAAGCGGAGCCGGGCTGCGCATGGAAATGAGCCTTGATACATAATTAATTAACATAAAACAGTTTCATTAGGAGGTGGTGTTACAAGGCTGTTTGTCTTAAACATTTAAGCTGTGTTAGGAGCAGGAGGGAAAAGGCAGCTCTGGGGAGCCCCGGCCATGGCATGGCCCATGCCAGTAGCCATGCTCGGCTCCCGCATCCTCTCCGGGATGGACCGGAGCGCATCCCCTCTTCCCTAATCGCCTGCAATGTCTCCTACCCTTGATTATTAATCTGTTTTCAATTCTATTAAGAGATAGCCAGGAGAAAGAGTATCAATTTTAGATTAACAAGGTTATTAGCACTTAATTATGTGAGGTGTCTTTGTAATTGAAAAGGAAAAGAGGAAGCACCATAAATATCCCCAGCCCCTGAGCTCCTGGGGGTTTGCGGGTGGCTCTTTATTCACGAGGCTGTGGAACCATAAATATTAAACATCTCGTGAAACAGATTACAAGGCAGAGAGAGGATGCCCTCTGGATATTCCGGCGCCGAATGCTCTTGCATTAACAAATATTCATTAACTGGGATCTGCAAAGTTATTTCCACCAAGACGTGGCGAATGAGCAGGAGAGAGAGGTTATTGGAAAAAAAGAGTCTAGAGTAAATATTATTAGTAATTTTTATCTCTGCGTGTCCCTAATTATGGAATAATTAGGGAAAGTGCACATATGCATACACAATCACTAACCTGTCACTCTCAGGATATTCATTCCAGCCCCGCGGCGGGACAGAGGCAGCAGGAGAAGCGATCCTCCTCCAAAATAAATTGGGGGGCCTGTACCCTGGGGTACCCCACCATGGCCGCATCCCTGTGCTCCCCGGGACGAGTGACACAGGTACCAGGCCCTGCTGAGCAGCCACAGTGGGAGTGCTGCTGGCTAGAGAGAATAATGTGACAAATCAGGAGCTCTTTTTAACTATGAACTAACAGGAGACCTCAGCAGGCAATGGGTGCAACAACACGTCCCTTGCCAGAGCCCACTTTGCTGGAGCCATCAAACAAGGAGGTCAGGAGAAGCTCTATTTACCCTCACCAGGACAGGCAGAGGTGTCCAAGGCACTGGCTGAGCCCGGCAGCCCTTCTCCATCCATCCCTGTATCCATCCCTCCCGGCCAGCCCCGCAGGCAGGGTCCTGGGGTCCAGCGGCGTCACACACCCACCTTAAGCTCTTAATCTGAACTAAACACATTACCGATGAGCTCATCAGTGAAAATCTAATTATGATGTGTGAGGCCAGGCTTAATTGCTTGTCCTTGACACGAATAATGCACCACGTAAGCCTATTAGCTGCTGTAAGCCTATTATTATTATTATCGTGCTCACTGTCAAAAGTATGGAACAGCGGAAGAGGGGAAAACAGCGTTGTGCAATTAGCAGCAAATACCAGACAAAAGCAGCTCCGAGGGAGCAGGCGCCCTCAGTCC